GTAAAAACTTTAATAAATAAATTAAGCTATATTTATTCTCATTAATTATATAATATAAATTTAATAAAAGAAAATAAAAATTTTAGATACGAATTTTGGTTTTGATTAAATAATATAGTATTATGTAATATAAATTTATATCATGATTTTATGAGAATCTTTACAATAAATTAATTAAACAAAAATAAGATGACTTCAAAAACTATATTAAAATAATAAGCCTCTATTAATTTTGATAAATCGGTTTAGTACTGCCAAAATAAGATTCATGTAGTAGAATTTCAAAAAATATTATTGTTTAAATGTTTCCTGTTTTATGAGATATATTGAAACATGAAAGTCATATTTAAAATTAATTTATGGCTTAATAAGATAAATATCTATTCTCAGAAACATAATGGCGATTAATTTCAGGAGCAATATCAGGAGCAGTTTCTCGATCTTTCGTTGCTCCTATAGAGAGAACTATTATTCTTAAGCAAACAAATGTATCCAATTACTAAAGAAAATCATTGATCAGATGTCTTTATATAATGTACACTTAAGAAGGAGCAAGAAGTATGTTTAAAGGTAATGGAGCAAATTGCTTAAGAATTGCTCCTTTTTAAGCAATTGAGTTTTATTTATTTGACATACTTAAAAATACATTTTAATTTAAGAACTAAAATGCTTAAAATATTTCAATGTTAATTTTTGGAGCATTTTCAGGAGCTTTAGCTACAATGACTGTTTATCCTTTTGACTTAGTCAAAACAATCTTAGCTGTATAAACAAGTAATCTATTATTATTAAATAGACTAGGAATACAAGGGAATTACTGATTGTTTAATTAAAATAGTCTAAAGAAAAGGTCCATTATCATTATTTAAAGGATTATCTGCTACATTAATTGGTATATCACCTTACTCCAGTTTTAAACTAACCTTTTTCTAAATCTTACGATAAAAATTGTCATCTTTATTGAGTTTTATTAATAAAGACACCTAAAATCTTTTATTTGGTGGTTTAGCAGGATGTATGGCATTAAGCATCACATATCCAACAGATGTTATAAGAAGACGATTATAGGTTTAGATTTTATAAGGTATTTATTAATTTTATAATTATTATAGGAAATACACATTCTGGTTATGTAGAGACAATGAAATTAATGTATAAAGAATAAGGGTTGATTGTATTTTATAGAGGATTATTTTGTACTTATGCTAAAGTAATACCAGCTACAGCAATTGCATTCACAATCAATGAAAAATTAAAAAGAATTAGAGATCTACATTGAAAAGATTTCAATTATATATTTTAATATATAGTAATGTATCTAATCCTTTATTGCATTATACATATTTCGATTGCTGTTTAAACATTAAGATAAGTACAAGATTAAAATGCCTTATGTTTGGATGGTACAAGAGCCGTAATATCTTTCTATATATTAGAGTTATTATTTTGAATAAGGATATGGGGATGGGGCAGATAAATATTTAATATTTTATGAGGGTGGAGGATGGATTCAAGGATTTGATGAAGCAGAAATGCTATAATAAGCTTATGATCGTTCAAATACAAATATGGGTAGTTCAAAGTTTTCGGCAGCAACAACTTAAATGGATGGTTTATTTAATAGAAATTAAAATGTTAATCCTTACTTTTATAATTGGAATACAATATTTGTAAATTATTGTGATGGAACAGGACATTAAGGATATAGAGCTTAGCCTTTATAAATTAAAGATAAGTTGATTTATATAAGAGGAGAATTAATATTTAAATCAATATTTTAAGAGCATCTTACAAAATTGACTAAAGCAAGTAAAATTTTAGTATCTGGTTGTTCAGCAGGAGGATTAGCTGTATTTAGTTGGATATAATATATAAAAAATCATTTACCTAGTAATGTCTTAGTGTTGGCAGCTCCAGATTCAGGTATTTTTCTGGATTTACAACCATATGATGGTGCTTAAGCTGCTAGTGATAGAAGATAAAAATAATATCATAAACTTGCAAATCAAGAAGTAGATCCATTGAATGAATAATGTGTAAAAAGCTATCCAAATGAGAAATGGAAATGTCATTTTGCTTAATATCTAATAGAATTCATCAATGTGCCTATATTTTTTATGCAATCTTTATATGATACAGCATGCATTCCAAATATATTACATATATATAATGCTTGGGATTATACATTAAAAAGATGTGATTACAAAGAGAGATCTTGCATAGAGGCTATGCGTAAATAGATTATAAATCTCATTAATGATAGAAAATTAGTAGATCCAAAGACTGGGGCTTTTGGAGTATCTTGTCTTGAACATTGGTATTAAATATAATAGTATTTATTATAGCTTTACTTAAAAATCAATATTTTATACTCCAAATTGGGCTATTCCAAATGGATCATAATGGACTATTGCTAATTCACTAGGATAATGGGTACAAAACTTAGAATTGAATAATATGCATGTTGATAATGTATATTGGCCAGACAATAATGGATGTTCGAATATTTGAATATTAAAATTAATGTCCTAACAGAAAAATCAAAAGAATATTGTGGTATACAATTATGAACCTCATCCAAAGACTTTGACTGAATAAGTTACCAATATTCAATAATCTCAAATACAACCTGATGATTCACCCTTTAATGTTTCTAAAGTCTTAAAAGCTAAACAATAACAAAGCAACATCTTTCATCTTCCTTAGTAGGATCTTGTAGATTATAGTAAAGTCACTCCAAATTAGCATGCAGAAAGTAAGGCATTTATTAAAATACTAGAAATTTTGCCATTTGATATGTTCTGGTGGAATAGTTAAAATTTAAAAGAAAACAAGAAAACTGATATTAATAATCCCATAATTCCTAATGTTCATATGATTTAAAGTAGACCTCAAACTGCAACTTAATATAGAGTAAATACAGAGTCCAACAATTAAAAAATAACTGAATAATAATTTCTTCAAATTTAATAATAACAATACTAATAATTTTTACAATAATAATAACAATAAATAAAACCTTAATAATAGTTATAGTAAATTGATTAATAAAAACAATTATTGAATCAATAATAAGAAAATCCATATGATGTAATTAAAGAACATAATCTAATGATTGAAACTGCTTCATTTGCTTTATAAGATAATAATATTTAAATATAATAATAATAATAATAATAATAATAATAATAATAATAATAATAATAATAATCTAATTAATTGTAAAATCCAGCAAAAGTATATGAGAAAGTCAATAATCCAAATTCTGAATTGAAATAAAAAAATCCCAATTTCTCTGATGTTTTTGGAAATGGCCTTGAAAAATATTATTAATAAAAACCATAGTAAAATAGTTGTACAAAACAATTAGTTGAATATATGTAAGAAAGTGAACTTTATGGTGTAAAATATCATTAAAGATAAATGCTTAAAGGTATGAGTTCTTAAATGGATACACATAAGTATTACGATCAAATGTTAGATAAATAAACTCAAGATTAAATTAAATCAAAACAACCAAAAAGTAAATCATAATCTCCTTAAGCTTCACCTGGTAAAAACCTTGAATAAGATGAGAAATTGTTTCCCAAACCTTTATACACTGAGTTAAGTATAAGAGGTATGGGAAAGGATATTAATTGGGAAAAATTGAGTGCATAATTAAATACTGTTTAAATGTAATTAGCAGATACTACTATTGTTAAAGATAAGTAAGGGAAGATCAAATAGCATAAAATAATAATTAAATATTTTGATCAAGGAAATTTACAAGGTGTGAAATAATGGGTACTTACATAAGGAGGTAGAATAGTTGAAGAAAGATTATTGGAGTCAGAGGATGAATTCAAGAAAATGATCAAATTAAAAGAAGGACCAAAGCAAAGACCATTGAGAATAGCTGAAGAAAAGGAAAGATTAAAGCAGTAAAAAAAAAGACCTTAAAGTGCAGCCCCCGTTTAAAAGTAAAAGAAATGATACAATTTTATATTCTACAATATTCAATTTTTTAATATTTAGATCCTTTTGATGTTAATTTTAATACACCATTATATCCTCTCCTTGATATATAACATTATGTATATCTAAATTTAAAAAAACAATTGATCAAAAACATTAATTAATGTAGCATATGTAGTAGCATTATTCTTAATAACATTTGGCTCCTTCTTATCAACAATAATAAAGAAATGTATCCAGCTCACCAATGTAAAGACAGTTCCCTATTCAACCCTTCACTCCAACTCAAAACCTAGGAGGCCAGAATGAAGGAATGAAACCTTATTCCACAGATATGAGAGAAAGAAGCAGATAAATGCAAAATACCCCTTAATATAATGGATAAACTCTTGAGAGCATGGCATTACGTATACAAACTCTTGAGAAGGAAAATTAAAGTCTTAAGAGATAATTAGAAAATGCAAATCACTAAATCCATGTATTAAATCAGAAAGTCAATCAAAATACAACTCCAAGTCTTCTTAAAACTACTACTTTTGAGCTTGTTGTTTTATAAAAAGCTGTAGAACAATTAGAAGGTCTTAAAAATGGACTTTAGAAAAAAAAATTATAGGGTAGTAACAATTAAACAACTTTACCTGATTCTTAAAAGGAAGCATATAGCGAACTCAAAAGTAAAGTCACAGTGATGGAAGAGAAGTAATAATAGTTAGATAGATAATAATCTTAAGTAAGGGCTTCATATTTTAATTAGACTATCCTTTTATTTCCTAAAGAACAATAGATTTAAAATTAATAATCAAATCCTCCATCCAAAGAAGAAGTCAAAGAAGAACCAAGGTAAGGCAGAAGGCTAATTGTCAATTCTTAATCCGATCAAGTTGACAATTAAACCAAAACAAGTCCTATTAAGTATTTGAATGTAAAAGCAGGAACAAGTTAAAATGCTTTAAGATTATCCCCAAGAAGAAAACCAGACTTGAAGTAAAATTGAATAAAAAATAAGATTAAGTGATTTTGTGCTAATTTTTATGATAAATTATTCAATCGCTATGCTCAGAATAATCACTATCATCGACTCTCTAACCAATGATTTATGTTCTCATTGTTTTAGTTGTTCTAGTTGGTTATCTATTCAAATCCTAATATCTATAATTATTGTTAATCTAGTTTACCTTTAAGCAATTTATTATTTTAAAATATCCATGTGATTCATTTCTGGAGCTTTGATTTATGCTTTTTGTTATTCTACTGCTTTGTTTTTATTTACCGGTTTCAATCTAGCTAATGGATTATCAGTATTTAAATCATCTAGCAACTTAGATCTGGATCCACTTGGTGGTGGTGGTGGTGGTAATTACCCAGGAGGAGGTGGGGGAGGAGGTGGTGGAGGAGGTGGTGGAGGTGGTGGAGGAGGTGGTGGAGCACCTTTAGGAGGAGGAGGTGGCGGAGGCGGTGGTGGAGGAGGTGCACTTTTATTCTATTATTATTAGGGTGGAGGTTATTATATTTATTATTATTATGATTGTTATTAATATTATTAATATTACTATTACTGTGTTTATTAAATTTATGGAGGTGGTTGTGCAGGAGCAATACTAGGAGCCACTGGTTTTTTATTTCTTTATTATGTGGATGGATTGAAAAAATCTAAATCATCATTATCAGGATCATAGTCAACAATTCCTGCCAAATTAAGTTTTGCATCAACTTTTAATTAAGCTATTGGTTTATTAGATGGAACATAAGAATATGATTCTTCTCCATATTTTGTAATTGTATCACCTATTGTATTTGGTGCATCAGCCATAGTTACTTATTCATCATCTGCTTATTACTTTTTTCTTTTATTCTCTTGTTTCTTAAATATTATAATAATAATCTTACTGCTGGTTCAGGAAATACTTCACGAGCATCAAAAGTATGATGGGTATATGGGTTAATTAATTAGTTAAAAACAGATAAGCCATCTACATATTTGAGTTTTCTTGGAACTGTGCCATAACCTTAGATTTATCTTTTTGATATGGCTCTTTCTCCTTCAAAAATAGTTTTCCCTTTTTAAGTGAATTTTCCATATGCCATTTGAATTGTTGCTACTCTATCAATATTGTCTGGTGCTTTTCCTTAATAGCCTTATTCATTGGCCAATCTGATGTATTTATATGGTTCATAGATTGGTATAATTGGTTTATTATAACATTCTGAAAATATGGATTGCTTGTTTGTAGGATCGAATTCATATTTCTTAACAAACTTACTAGGAGATTGAAATACTATCGCTTAAGGACAATTTTATAGATGATTCAACTTAGCATTACAAACATTAATGCGCTATTATTGAAAATATATAAATACTTCTGCTAATTATTGAATTCTTGCTTTCACTAGATTAACACGATAATCTAACTTTTCTTCTGTAATATTCGTTGCTTACTCTAGCAAAGACAAATTGCCAAGAGTAATATCTAAACCTTCCTTATGATGTAAGTCAAATGAAGCTAGATTAAATTACCAAGGACAGGGTTATATAAATGCCATTCTATAATAAAAATAATATAATAATCAATTTGCATGCTCTTTTTAATATTGCACATCTAAATCTCTAATAAGACATAAATAAACCTTAAATACTAATATTCTTTATAAATTTTAATTTTTTAAATTAAACATATATGGTTTATCATTAGTTTTTATTTTATTGTAAAATTCTTTAAACTTTATAATGATTTACTGAATTGTAAATTAAAAATTAAATCACCTATCTTAAAAAGCCTTAGAATGTTATCTAAAAAAATAATAAATATAAATAAAATATGATAAAAGAACTATTACAAATTTATAAAATAAAATAGCAAAGTATTTCTTAAATTGATAACTTATTAATATTCTTCATAAGAAATATGAATGTTATCTAGATCAATTTTATTAATGAATCAAATTAAGATCTTTCAATTTTTAAAATGTTAAAAAAAGTGAAACAATTGTATATCTGCCAGGACAGGATGAATGAGAAATTTTTTAAATAATAATTTAGAATGGGTTATGTAAATTAATCTAAAAAATAAAATAAATTTTATAAAATAGAAAATTTCTAAATTTTAGCATTTAGAAATTAATTCCTAATTTCATTTATTTTTAATGTTATCTTATTATAATGTCGGTTGTATGTAATCATCCCAATCTATTGGTTTAATATCCTCATCATCATCTATCCATTATATTCTACAACCAACTTCCCATAATCCTAATTACTTTTTACCAGTAGGCAATATATATCTGCCTTTTCCAGATTATTTTCCATTTTTCCAGTAACCTTCATATTCTAATATATTATCATAATATATACTTCTTCCATCAGGCCACTAATAAATACCATATCCTTATTTTTTATCTTAAATATATTCTCCTTCATATTAACGTCCATCTGGCCATGTGTATATTCCTCTACCATTCATTTAATTTTTACTCCACATTCCAGAATATTTCTAAATTGAACTTATTATTTACTCTACCATCCGACCAAGTATAAATTCCATATCCTTCTAATTAATTTTTCTCCCAATAACCCAAATAATAAGATCCATCACTCCAATAATATTTACCAAAACCATTCTTTCTACCACATTAATAATTTCCCTCATATCTAGAATGATCAATCCATATCTCAATTCCATATCCATGTGGTTAATCATCATTCCATTATCCCTCATATTTAGCTCCTTAAGCATGAATATATTTTCCTTAACCACAAACTCTATCTTCTTTCCAATCTCCATCATAAAGGTCTCCACTGACATGCCAAAACTTACCTTTTCCATGTGCCCTATTTTTTTTCCAATCTCCTTCATATTTAGCTCCATCTGCCCAAATTTAAATACCAAATCCATCTCGGTATTATCCAACCCATTCTCCCTCATAGTAAGCACCACTTTTGAAATAATATCTTAATCTTTTTTCTCTACCTTAATTAAAACATTTATTTCCAAAAGTTTCCATCATGTCTTCTTAATTTCTATAAACCATCTCATTTTTTCGATTCTGTAAATCACTATTAGATTCTTTAAATTATAAACTATATAATATACATGAAGTCAAGATGATGTCGGATTATTTATCATTTGGTATTTGAACAGCTTGGATAGGATTAAAGTTTTCTAAAATTACTGATAAGGATTAATTATTTTAGGCTTTATAATACTCTTTTTGATTTTCTTCATTATTGTTATCTTCTTAATCATGAGATTAGCAACTTATTGTCTATTGATGAAACTCAGTAATTAAAATTTCATCCTTCTTTGAGCAGATTTAACAATTCGAGCAATTACTACCCATTTTTTTGAATATAATACTATGAACTTTTTAATAAATAATTAATCAAAGCCATATATTATTTGATTGTTTTAATTTTTCATAAAATTTAAAGTTCAAAAAGTTAAAAGTTATATATGTTGAAAATATAAATAATAAATTATAAAGATGAATAAAGTTTTTATATCATATAATTTAAATTTCTATGTGACTATTGTTCTGCTAAGTATAAGAATTGATGAATAAGGGATATAAAATAAAATTTAACTAGTAATTAAGTTAATAGAAAATATAAATAATAATTTTTATAATTTATTATGTTCGCAGACGCATCTGAAATTTTATTTTTGGAAGAATGTTGTAAGTTTACAGTAGATCCAGCAAAGTAAATTAATGCAATTATTATTTTAGAGCTGATAAAATGATATTTTTGGCTGATACCTATAAATAATATTTTCAAGGAAGAACCAATATATTAATTTCATAAAATTAGGATATTTTGGATGCATGCATTTTAGAGAGATTAAAATATCCGTATATTTTTATATTTAAGTAGCTAAACAAATCCTTATGTAAATCTTGTGCAAATAAAATATAATATTGAGTATTTAAAAGGAAGACCTTGGTATAATACTCCAGAAATCGGAAATCTAATTGAATCATTTAAAATCATGGTTTAAAATTACTTGATGACAATTCTATAATATCCTGACTAATTTTCACCTCAAAGATGTATATCAGACAGAGAGAAGGAGCAAAATTAAGGTATTCATTATAAATATGAAAGAGCTTTAAAAATTGATTGCACGGCTTTTTGATATTTTTGATACAACAGGATTTGATTCAGATATACACAGTTTATTTATTTAAAATATTCGAGAAAATTATGATGAAAACATGTTACATATACAAATAATCTAATATTCTAGAAATTGTATTTCAAAGGTTTTAATAAAAGAATTAATTTTAGCTTCATATTCATAATGATCAAGTGAATCTTTATTTTGCAGTATTCTTACATTATTTAAAGGATAACAAAACCAAAGAGTTAATTATGTCTGATAAAATTGCTAAATGGTAAAAAATTATAATTTAAAATAGGAATGTAAAAACAGATAAGGGAGATATATTAGAAAAAGAATATTTTTTAGGTCCTATATTTACAATATCATTATTATAAGAAAATCAATATGTGAGATAGAGGGCTCATCAAAATTTAACAGGTAAAATGACAAAGAGATAATTTCAAATTCTTCTTAAATAATATTAATAAGTAGGTCACAATCATGTTGAAAGTTTAGTAACATTGATAAAAACATGTCTTTCAAAGAACACATTTTAATAAACTATACAATTTTTAAATCATGTATGTTTATGCAATAAATTTAAAACAAAAGAAGGATATTAACATAATAGATAGATGAGAATAAAATAAAATGTTTCATCTGATGGATTTCTACTTAATTTATATGATACTTTATTATATTTATCAAATAAAATATCAAGTAGATCAGATGATACTTATACAAAAATAGATAAGCAATTTTGGTATACTCTTCCTTTTGAGAATGAATAAATGCTTTTATGTATTTGATTTTTATAAATTTTAGTTTCTTAAATACCATTAAGTAAATAGAATTTATAAATTGGTAATGTAAGTTATTTATTTTTTTATACTTTAAAATATGTTCATATAGGAGTAATACCAATTCTTTAGAAATTGGAAGATATGCTTAAAGAAATGCAAGATAATAAAGAACTTTTAGAATTATTAGCTGGTCAACCTGAAGAAGCTAGAATTAAAGCAGATATAGAAGCTATGGATTCAGAAGTTCATCAATTAGAATTAGTAATTTTTAACTATGGAAGAATTAAAGATACAATTTAATTATTTGATACATTTATCTATTTATTTAAAGAATGGCTTAATATTGATAATATGATTGATGGTTAAACATTATGGCAGAAACCAGATATTTTAAATTATATTCCAGAATTTGTAATTAATGTTATAATAGATTATATTCACTTTTATATGTAACATTATGAAGGTTTTGTTGATATTTTTTTTGATTTTTAAAAAGTATTGTATTATTTTAGAAATAGTTTACGTTTTTTGCAGAACTTGGAATGTATTTTATTCATTTACCAATTGCAACAAATAAATATTTAGCTGGAAAATTTATTGAAATGATATTTTTTTATACTAGGGTTACGAAAAATATAGCTAACATACCTTTAATATTTATTTCAAATAGTTTAATAAAAGACAATTTACTTTTAGGACTAATAAAATAATATTCAGCAGTTGCAGAAACAGGAGCAAATAATCAATTTTATGCTAAATTTTAATACAGATTATATATTAATGAAATTCTATTCTAATTAATGTAGATAGATATTTATTAAAATTAAATAAAAAAATATATAGAATGTGAATCAGGTCAAAGATTAATAAAACATATGATAAGTGATATGAATTATGGTTTTGAAGAGATATGGACTACATATTTAGAAACATATCAAAAAAAATTAAAAGATGCTCCTAATAGTTTATAAGAAAAATACAATAAAAAGCGAGAATTAGATTTGATTAAAAGTTAAATTAAATCAAATTTATAAAATATGAAATCTAATTTGAAGTTATTAGTTGAATTTAGTTTCCATATTCCAAAAGTTTTAATGAATGAAGGTAATATTATTAATTAAATAAATAGTTTTCTAAGAAATGATATTAAAAATGATTAATTATTATCTTGATAATTTATTAAATGAAAGACTTAAAGAAAAATTAGATTCTTTAAAAAAAATTGCTGAAAAAGAATTTAGATTAGAAACATTTCTAACACTAATAGGAACATTTTTTGCAAATGTTTATAATCAAAAAAAAGTTGTGAGTATCCTTGTAAAAGATGATAGATCTTATAATATAGAAAATTTTTTAAAATTAGAATATTTTTTTAGATAGAAAATTGCTGGATAATAAGAGAAGGTTGAAAGATTAAGTAAATTTATTGAAACTTTGTAACTTAAATCAGAAAAAAAAAAATTTATGGAAAGTATTTTAGAATAGACACAGATTCCAGAAAGATTTTAAGATCCTATAAATGGAGAAGTATAAATTAATATTTTAATTTAGTTAATGAGAGATCCTGTTTTATTACCATAATCTAAAGAAATAATGGATAGAAAAGTTATTGTCACTGCATTATTAGAAAAAAAATAAGATCCATTCACTGCTACTCCTTTAGATACTAAAGATTTAATTCCTTAACCAGAACTAAAAAAGGAGATAGAAATATGGCTTACTGAAATTAAGAGACAAAGAGATCTTAAAGTCTAAGAAGCTTAAAAAAATAAGATACAAACTGAAATTTAGTTTTAATAATCTTAAAGCTTTAATTTATAGGATGATGAAGATGATCTAAAAGTATATAAAGGGAATAAATATGAAGATGATTGAGTTGAAATAAAATATATAGATATTTTATTTAGAATAAAAGAAACAATTTTTTAACAAAATAATTTTATACTGTTATTTATGATTAACTCATTTTTTTCATAATTTGCTAACTTTGGCCATATGAACAGCTAAGTCCAAAACTCTATTGGAATATCCCCATTCATTATCATACCATGAGACTAATTTGTGGAAGTTCTTTGTCAATCCAATACCAGCTTTTGAATCAACAATAGATGATCTAAATTTTTTAATAAAAATTTTTACCTTGCATCATGAAGGAAATCTTATGAAACTACTTAATCACTTGTGAATCCCAAAATTCCTTTTAATGGACCTGCTTATGAAGCCTTTGAGAGTGCTTCCATAATTTCATCATAAGATGCTTCTTTTTAAATTCTGACTGTCAAATCAACAACTGAAACATTGATAGTTGGAACTCTGAAGGCCATACCAGTTAATTTTCCTTTAATTTCTGGAATGACTAATCCTACAGCTTTTGCAGCTCCTGTAGTTGATGGAATAATATTGGTAGATGCAGCTCTTCCAGCTCTCCAATCTTTTCCACCTTTAACTGGTCCATCAACAACCAATTAAGTAGCTGTGGAAGCATGAACTGTTGTCATAAGTCCTATAAAAATCTACTGATATTTTTACCTTCAACAATTCCAAAATTATCATTGACAACTTTAGCTAATGGAGCTAAACAGTTGGTTGTGCATGAAGCATTTGAAACAATGTGTTAATCAGCTTTATAGTTTTCATGGTTAACTCCATAGACATAAGTTGGTGTGCCCTTGTCTTTTGATGGAGCAGACATAATGACTTTCTTGGCTCCTCCTTTCAAATGGAATCCAGCCTTTTCGTCAGTCAAAAATGCACCTGTTGATTCACAAACTGTGTTAACCTATAAAAATTATAATATGCTATTACTCCTGAATCTCCCCAAGGAATTTGGCTTGGATCTTTTTGAGCATAAACTCTGATCTTTTATCCATTGACAACAATTCCTTAATCGTATTTCTCGACTGTGAATGGTGATTTCAAATGAGCAGAGTCATATTTAAGATTATAGACTAAGTAATCTAGATCCATGAATGGGTCATTGATAGCTTTGACTGTCACCTTGGAATATTTAAAATGTATACTGGTTTGTTGTTCTCAATAGCGGCTCTCAAGACCAATCTACCAATTCTTCCGAATCCATTAATACCAAGGTTGACGGACATTTATAAATGATAAAAGATATTTATACTTTGATAACCAAAACACGTAAATTTATATTCTCTATTAATGCGTCATTTGATTTAAATCGCCATTATAATGCCAATATTTATCATGAAATAACAGACGTGTGTGTAATAAATATCATATTTTAAGATATCATGACAATATATTTTTCAAAATAAATACAAAAGAAATGAATATTTAATATTTTTAATTTAAAAACTTATGTTTATCAATATAAATTCAAATTGATCAACTAATTCTAGAAAGATCAAGTTGAGTTTCTAAATATTTTTTTAATTCTTAATTATATTAAAGTTTTTATTCTTTTATGTTCTATAATTCTAAGAAACCTATTATAATATTTCTCTATTTTATGAAGTAAAATTAAGATTTAGTATTTATTAAGAAACTAATATATATATATATTTAATCATAATTCTTCTTCTTTTAAATTCTCTGTTGGGTACTTTTTGTTTTAAACTTCTGATGGATTATTTTTTGGAATCAATCTAATAACTGGAACAGGAATCCATATAATCTTTTTAGGTTCTCCTTGATTTAATTCAAGCATTTGTTCAAATTTAAATAAGAAGTTTCTTGGGCATAAATATCGAATATTTTAATCTTTTTGTTATTCTGTCTATTTTGTATCAATTTTTTTATTAATTTATGGTTCCAAATTATCTATTTCTTATTTACATGATAATTCAGTTTTGATAGTCTTTATTTCTTAATCTTCTTACTTTTCGAATTCCTAATCTAAGACCTAAAGTTTCTAATATATAAAATTAAATATTACTAAGCCTAATTTATGACTTTGATCTTTGTGTTTAGTATAGAATCTATTCTTGACCATTATTTCCTAAATTTAATTTTTATAATTACAGATCTATCTTTCATCAATTTGGCAATCTAAGTCCACTTTGACCCATACTGTTTATATAATTTGATTAATTAATCGTCTTCCTCTTGAGTCCATGATCTTGCAGGTGGTGCTATTATTTAATTGATATATCTATTTCGAATTTAGTTTCCAGTTCTGTTTTTCATAATTTAAGCAATTTCATTCCAATTTTCTCCATATTTTTACACTAACTCTTTCAACATATCATCTTCTTCTTTAGTCCATGGTGTCTTTTTTCCACTCTTATATAATATATTTATATTTTACCTTTAATTAAGTCCATCTTTGAACACATTCTTAATCTGTTTTTCCTGATAAATATTCGGCAATCTTCTTCCATTATGGTCCATATAACTTAAAAGCTTCTTCTAATCGTCTATCATCATCATAATTCCATTTATTGTTGTTTTCTACTTCAGCATCAGTCCAAGCAAATTACATCAAATTAAAATAAATAAAAAAGATTTGTAAATTAACTCTTTCCCCCTTCAGATAACAATCCCATACACATAATTCAAACTATATATGCTAAAAAGTCAATATCACTCATCTTAATTATGTTTATTATTATGTTGAAGTCATAAATAATACAAACTTTATTTCAAAAGTACCTAAACACAACTTCAAAAGTTAAAATTTTAAATTTCTTCATCTTACTTCTTATCCTTTTTATTTAGATTAAAAGGCTTCTTCTTACTTTAAATTTGATATCATTAATCTTTTCTAACTAAAAAAATGATCAAGAGACTAGAACTTTTTATTATATATCTAATAATTAAAATATGTTTCAAAAATTCATATATATATAAATGATCCTATTTATTTTCTTATAATTTTTGTGCGTATTTTAACTTAAAAAGGTAAATGAATAATTTCTAAAAATAATAATATATTTATTAGAATGAATATTGAAACATAATCTGAAAAATCAGAAATCAGAAGATCTAAGCGAGAAAGGTATGTTTGGGAAGCTTTGAATGCAGTTCAAAAATGGAGAGACTTATTTGAAAATGGTTATTTTGATGAAGTAGGTAATTACATAAAACCTTCTTTAAAGGAGGCAGCTGATTTAGTTGGACTTCCAAAAAGAACTCTTGAATAATATCATAGTATATTTAAGTAAATTTTTGTATTTATGAATAGAAAATTACCAGAATATATAGACATTATGAGAATACTAGATAAAAAAATGGGAATTATAAATTAGCTCATTAAACAATAAAAAAATGAACCAGCAACAACTTAGGAATAATCAGAGTATATTTAGTAAGAATAGAGTTCTTGGGATAATATGATTATTGAAGCAGATGATTAATTAGCAGTACAAAGGGATACTGATGAATACTAGGAAATGAATCAGATAGTTTAATAATAATAAATTTTTGAAAATGAAGAAGATTATGTAAAATATCTTTAATTCGAAGAAGACGAAAATTATTGTTAAGAATATTACTAATTCAATCCTGAAGAAGATTTCTTTTGGGATCAAGATTAAGCAAATCCTGCATTGCCTGATAGTTGATATAATTAATTAAACACACTTAAACATAGATATAAATTAATCACTATTAGTAATTCACTTTCTATATCAACAAATTTATCTATAAAAACTTAATAATCTGTTTATTTAAATTGATCTAATTCTTTTATTTTTTGATTCTTACTGAATATTCTTTAAAGTATCTAATAAAATAGATTAATTAATTTTTTCTTCATTTGAAAGTTTTTAAGATAACATAATCTATGAAATAAGTAATTCATTTTAGATACAGACAGGAAAGTTTAAAATTTATGATTTATTATCTTATTATTATCCATGATTTGATAAATTTAATTTATTATTCATAGGATCACCAGTCATGAGATTAATTTCATAATCTTCTTCTAAAAATGCCTTATCTTTTAATTTTTATGCTGCTTCTTCAGGTGTAAATAATAATTCTACTTCTTCTTTTTTTGAATATATTGAAACAAAAGAAAGATTATTAAGTGACATCCTAGGAGGATTTTCTTGTCTTTATTAAATTTAATATTCAGTATCCATTGTCATTTTTCTTTCAATTAATTGTGAATCTTTAATATCAATTTATTCTGATAAATAACGACATCTTTTAAATAAAGGAGACTCATTTATTTTTTATTTCTAAATTTATAAGACATTCTATAATTATCCTTATTAAGCTATAGTTAATTAAAAGTTGAGTTAACTTAGAAATTTAGTTGAAATCTTTTTAACTTATAATTTAGAATCATCTATCCAATCACTTCTTTTTTTAGTATTTCTATTATAAAATAATAAACTATGTGTCACTTTATATTATTTTGTAATTAATTCTTCTTAAAATATTGTAGTCATAGTCATCATAGCAATAGCTGATCGTAACCAAATAGTTATTTATTTGATTAAGGAATTGTTCTTTTTGGTAGTAAGCATATTAAGCATGATACTTTATGATTATATAAGACTCCATTCTTCAACTAAAAAAGAATTTCCATCTTTTTCAAGAAAAAATTATACAATCATTTCATTAGTTTAAGAACTTCTCCAATTATTTTTAAGTAATTGTTATACATTAATGTTTATTTCTTTATTCCAAATAATTCCAATTTCTTTTGTTTAATTTTAAATTTGGGATTAGTATTAAAGGAAGGGGTATGCTCTTGATGTTAATAAAATATCAGCAAATTTAGTGAATAACAGTTAGATCATATTCATATGTTTTTAAATTAGGTATTTATAAGAAAATTAATGAATGAAATATGTACTTTAAATTTATAATCAAATTTTAAAAATGCGTATTAATATAATTTCTTCAATAACATAATATTTGAACAAATATAACTCATCATTATTATTTTGCTTTAGATTTCTCTTTTGTATCCTTTGGTTTATTCTTTTTTTCATCACTCTTTTCTTTTGGTTATTTCTCTTACTTAGGTTTAGATTCAGTAATAATATCCTTTTCAATTCCTTTTATTTTAGCCTAAATTGATATAATGTATAAAATTACATTCGAAATAGCAGACATTATCTTATTAAGAATAGACATTCCAACAAATAATGAAATGAATAAACCTGCAGTTCCAATAGGACTAGTAATTAAACTTCTTAAACCACCTTTTTTAGTTACTGGAGTAGAAGTATTTTATTATTAATCATCAACTTCAAATTCATTTTCTACTTCATTTAAGTGATCATTTCTTATTTTTACTCTCTCTTTTCTTTTGACTTTAGCTTCAGATTTTTTTTATCTCTCAACTTCTTCTTTAATCTTTTCTTCATTAATAACTTTTTCCCAATTTTCTTTCATATATTGATATTCTTCATAATCTGTTTCATTGATTCCACCTGCATACAAAACTATTCCATGAATATATGGATTATCAAATTTTGTTTTTTCAAGATTCATTTATAATTTACCATCTTAAACTGCATCTACACATAAAACATTCTATTTTTATATATAAATGTAAATTTACATTATGGAATACTTAACCAGCTATATATTCAAATTCTATATATTCATCATTTGAAGCAAATTTTCCAACCTTAGCAACAACATCGAGTTTTTCTATGACTCTTTATTGTCCAAATTTAACATGAAAAACTCTCTTTCCTTTTGTATCAAAGTACATCTTTCATTTATATTATTAAATACTTCTGCAAATTTAAGAATTAAAGTATAAGTGCCTTCTTTTTACAATGGAATTTGATATGAGAATGTTTTATATGCATGTCTTTCTGTTAAATAGATTTCTGGCTCTCTTGTATATTTGATTTGTTGACTAGACACTTCAGAATTCAAACTGTAATCTGCTACCACTGTTTCAGGATCTGTTTGTATATCCTTAGAAATAATATATAAAGTAGCAATACCTTATCATATTGAATTCCTGAAGGACTTTTATAATTTGAAGGTGCACCACAATTAATAGCATACAAGACTTTCTTAGGATTGAGTGGCTTAGAAAAAGCAAGTGCTATGATGATAAATAATTATATCATTAAGAATAATAAATTATATATTCATATATTCACAAAATTTGTATTTAATAATACACATTCATTCTGCTAAACTTAGAGCAACTAAATAACTAGGAATGTACTCTTTAAATTTAAGATTATCTTAAGTTATATTATTTATATTATAGACTGTCTAATTTGTATTTTGATTTTAGTGCTTTTAAATTCGATATACACTATTGTTAAAGTAATTAGTATTAGAATTCTAAAGTTGAGTAATTTATTTTATAAGATTTTAATTCTCATTTTTATTTATATTAAGAGCTTCTTATAATTGATATATGATTAAGTCTTGATTATTTTATTATTTCAATAATTAATTCTCTTTCTTCAATTTAGTGGCTAATTCAGTTAATTTTGATGATTCTTTCTCTAAAGCTGCAATTCTCATAAGATATTTTATTTCTCTTTATTTGTTTTCATCGAATTTATTCTTATTTGTATTTTCCTACATCTAAATTTTTTGTATATTTTCCTTTCTTTCATGAAATGCATTAGCTAAATAACCAGATAGAATGTTTGAATTTTCAATCTAAGAATTATTTCTGTTGTCATAAAACGAATTATTAATTTTTCTTTTACTTCTATTTACTTATTATAGAATAATAATTACAATCACCAATAGATGTATTTTATTTAACTTTGACTTTGTCTCTGCTTAATAATCTTGCACTTTTGATTACTTCAGCTTATACAATTTCTTTAATTGTTTTTACTTCTCTTGAAGAATTACGATAATAAGGCATAGAAGTATTTAAAGACATAAAGCTTTAACTGCTTTATAAAAATATTAATTAATAAAAGAGAGTCAAGCAAAATAATAATATAAAATTATCATTATTCATATCTCTCAATGAAAACAGTTCTACAGATAGGACAAGATCCACAAGTTTAAATCCATACTAAAATGCAAGTATCATGGAAAACATGATTAATTTTCCTATTACCACTATCTACATTGCATGGCAATTTTACACAATTATCATCCATTTAATATGTAGATAAACATATTGAACATTCTTCATGAATACTTTCATCTTATTCTTTTAGTTGCTAGAATTTTTATGGGTTTAAATTATTTAAAAACCTTTGTCTTTGCTAAGCTATCCTATGAAGCTTATATTCAATATATAGGTATGTACACCAATTACATGATTACCAAATCGCCATTCCAATTATTATTGGGATTATAGCACAAACAACTAGGATTAAACTTACCAGAAAAATTATGATGATATAACCAATTAACATTGAAAATACTGTCAAAACAATCAAAATTGATTCTAATTAATTCATATTGATATTGTTGTTTTCCCAATTTAAAAATATCCATTAAACTATTGTGATATTTCCCCAAGCAAATAATATTATTTTAGTCAGCAAACAAACTCTATTTAAGGCAAACATTTAAGAATTCTAATTCTCTAATAAATAAGTTAACCATTTCATAGTTGTAATCTTTTCAGAAATACTTATAGCAACTTATTATGCTTATGTCAACTGTTCTTCATCTTCTACTATATCTTCAAAAGGACTATTTATTTTTATAGTATATTTTAAATATTCGATAATCTAAGTACTAGCATCACCTTAATTTATTTATTCAGCTTCATTTATTATGTACCTTAATTAAAAGTTGATATATGTTATTAAACAATCAGAGATTAGGTTAAAACCAAAATATACACTGAATAATTCTTTTATTTGATCTTTTGTAATTAGTGAAAAATATAGAGCTATTACTTCATTTAAAATAAAAATGATATTGAGAATTGTGAATAGATTGACTAGTATGTAGCTTCTAAAAACTATAATTTTAAGGGCGTTGTTTAGTTGTGGACATTGGTTATTAAAAATCAACTAAATAATATCTTGAAAACTTATATTCAAATACTGTTCAGTTTCGAATTGTGATGTGTCTAATATTTCAGCAGGTTATTATTCTTAAACATGAACTAAACTCAATTACTAAAGGGATTATTATTCTGCTGACTGTAACTAAATGGAAGAATGGTGTGATTGGCCCTAAACCTTATATTAAAACGATAAAGATTCAGGGTTGTTGATAACCTTCTCTTGCTGCTAAAATTAAGATCTAAATTCTTAAAATTCTGATTGTAGTGATTGATCTAAACTATTATTCATTAACAAACAAAAAAATTATTATTTATAAGACATTTTCATAAATTCATATTAAATAAATAATTATGAACACAACATAAGAAAACAATAAAGATAACTAGATAGAACAAATTGAAAAGAAAGTGAAGATTTAAAAGCCAAAGAAGGCAGATTTTAGAATGCATGCTCATGTAAATCCATTAAATGAAACCTTGTTTCCTTATCCACTTAATTACAATTAAGTTGATTGGTCATTACATTATCCTAAAAAATTTGGAAAAGATCCATTAAAGTTATATCTAAATACATTAGAATATCCAATTTCTTATGATGATTAAGTGAATCCTGAATGTTCATAATCTATTGTGGATTTTCTTGATATGTAAATTTAATTAATATTACCTAAGTGGTTGTGGATTTGGAGGACTATGCTTTGCCTTAAGTTAAAATTACCCAGATAAGTATACATTTGGAATGGAAATCAGAGGCAAAGTAGTAAACTTTGTAGGAGAAAAAATTAGAGCCTTAAGAAATGAAGGCGAAGCTCACAATGTATCAGTGATTCGTACAAATACAATGAGACATCTACCACAATATTTTAGAAAAAATAGTTTAGAAAAAATCTTTATTTGTTTCCCTGATCCACATTTCAAAAAGAAAAATTACAGGAGAAGAATTGTTAATTCAGGACTACTTTCTGAATATGCTTATCTATTGAAACCTAATGGAAGAATTTATTGTATAACTGATGTAGAAGAATTACATAATTGGCATGTTTAACATCTTGAAAAACATAGGATGGTATTTATGAAAGAATTATATAAAGTTTAAACGAGTTTAAGATGTTGAAGAAGATTCTGCAGCAAAACTCATTTGGAATTCTACTGAAGAGGGAAAGAAAGTAGAAAGAAATAAAGGATCAAAGTTTATTATTGTTTGTGAAAAAGTGTGACTTACAAGATTAATAAAAATACATTAATGTAACTTAAATTAATATTAAAAATAATATATTTATTATTATATGCCTCCCAAATAATAATAAGTTGTGAGTGTCATTAAAGATGAAGAATAGTTTCTTAATCTAATAAGTTCTGAAAATAAAAAGTTGGTTTTGCTTGATGTTCATCCTGATTGGTGTGGTCCATGTGAAATGATGATTCCAACTTATAAAACCTTATAAACAAGCATAGATGATTTTGAAAAAAGAGTAGACATCTACACTCTAGGTTATGGTAAAATACTCACATACAAACATGATAAATTTAGTAAAAAATAAATCTAATAATTTATTTAGACAGAGAGCCAACTAGTAAACCTAGATTTGTCTTTTATTAAGAAGGCAGATTGGTTGATGAAGTGTAAGGAGCAGATATTCCAGCCATTATTGAAAGAGTATACAAATATTTACCTATGGTTTATTGATCATTATATATCAAATAATACATTATTTAAAGTCATTTATTATACTCTAATTTTTATTCTAGTCTTTTCTATTTTTTAATTATTCTTTTTCTTATTTAATTTTCATTCATAAAATCTTTAGTTATATTACTTACTATACATTATTATCTTATGTGATAGTATAAAATAATTAATAATAAATAAATATCGTTAATGATTAAATTTCAAAATCAACCAATCAACTATGATGTTAATGGATATTCATAGCCTAAATATCAATAGATGCCTCCAAAATAACAAAAATAAATGTCTAATTAAGGTTGCTTCCAAGAAACTTTTGGATAATAATAATATTATGGCAGATAAATGATTCCACAATCATAGGACTCCAAAAATCATCAATAACCTTAGTAACACCAATAATAATAAACACAAAATTACTAAAACTATCCTTAAAAATAATAATATCCAAATATGCAATAATAATAATAATAATATTAACAGTCATAATAATAATAATAATAATAATAATAATAGCCTCAATAAAAGGGGGATCCAAGATACTAGAATGTTTAATTCACAGCCAAAGAATTTAATCAATTATTCTATAAATAATAATAATAATAACAATAATAATAATAATAATAATAATAACAATAACAATAACAATAACAATAACAATAACAATAACAATAAACAAATTAAAACAAAGTAAATGAAAATCAAGAAGATGCCAAGTATACTTAACCTTAAAAAGCTACTGGTAATGAAAGATAGATATCTACTTACTCATAAAATCAATAATAGCTACTTTAATAAAAATAATTTGGGGCACCTGGAAGAATGCAATCTGCTGATCCTGTCTAAGCTTAAAACAGAAGTGCTGCTCCATTAACAAACATTCAGTAATTAATACAATTAATATTTTAGAAATCAGTAAGCAACAAAAACTAGTCAATATATAAGTAATGGAGGTGGAATTAATAAGACTTAAAATGATTACTCTTAGAGATAAGCTACTCCAATGAAGGATTAAATGAAATTCATGAGTATTAATATTATTTAAAGTTTAGATTAAAAGCAAGTTCCAGAACAAATTAATCAATAATTAATGTATTCTCCTATGCCTAAGAGTCAATTACTAAATGAAACAACAAATTTAGCAAAATTATAACAATAATAATTACAATAAAATAAGTCTCCTTAAATATAAAAGGTTGGTGGTTCTGGAATGGGTCCAGCTATTTCTTAACCTACAAATGCATAATAAATAGTTGAAGAATTAGCAAAGGAAAAAGAAAGACATTAATTATTAACTGTCAAATTAAAAAAATTAGAATAAGAAAAAAAAACTTATAATACATAATTTTTGAATGAAATGGAGAGCAAAATTAAAACTCTTATCTAACAAAATGATTAACTATAAAATTTGAATATGGAGTATTTATTATATTTGATGTTTTTAGATTATTATAGAAGGCTTAGGATTAACCTTAAGGAGAAATATAAGAACTTAATAAATAGATTTCATATAATAGTTAACAATTAGATTTCTTGTAAAAATAAATTAATGAGGCTCAAAAGCAGTTGTCTGAATAAATGAAAAAATACAAGGATTTAGAATAATAATATTAGGAAAAGAATTAAGCTGAAGAATAATAAATTTAATTTTTAGTTACTGATTTAGAAGAGAAAGTTCATGGTTTAATTTCTGAAAATGAAAGATTAAATAATTTAATAGCATAATAAGATAGTAATCCAAAAAAGGAATAATTATAGCAATTAACAAATGAAAAGAATAAACTTATTTAAATGGTATCATTTAAATAATTAAAATAGACTCAATAAAGTTAAAAGGAAGTATAAAATTGGAAAATCAAATATGAATAGTTACAATAAAAACTTCAGTCAGCAGACAAATTCTTAGAACCATAAGGAGAATAAGTTGAAGCACTTGAAGAAAAGATTAAATCATTAATAGAAGAAAATGATTACTTAAATACAGTAGTTTAATAATAAATTGAAAGAGAGAATCAAATAGCATTATTGGAAGAAGAGTAAATAAATTATTAAAATTTTTAGAATGCAAAATTTAGTTGAACAAAATGACAATCTTGAAATGTTACTTCAAAATAGCACTAAAAAATGATCAATAATATATGATATAAAATAATTGTCATAATTTCTATTTTCTAATTATTAATAAATAATCAACAATATTTAGAGATTTTAAAACTCTCTATTCTAAAGGTTATGCATTTTTATACTTCCTAAAATAAATAGTATAAAATCTTAAAATCATAAAATACATAAATAATATTCTATTATATAATTTACAATTAGATTATATTAATCAAGCTAAGAAATTCTAGAAATCCTTCTAATTCAGTTTACTAAATAACTCCATAATACTAAAATAATAATTATAATAAAATAATAATAATTATAATAATCAAACTTAATCATTATCTCCCTACATGGATCAGGCAATAACAAATAAGTATATTTTTATAATAATTGAGCTGAAGGCCTTATAGGGCTATGGACCCTCAAGTACTTGATTAAAATTAAGTTTCTGCAGAAGGTTAGAGCAAACCAACTCTTATTAAATGCTTTAAATGTGGATGGCTTGGAGTCACAAAAGTTAAAAATAAAATAGGAAAAGCAACATTATGTGCATCTCTTTTACTTTTAGTTTTATTCTGCCCATTATTTTGGTTACCATGTTGCTTAAAATCGTGTCAGGATAAAGTGCACTTTTGTTAAAGTTGCGGGATTATTGTTGGAGCTAAATTATATAAATTATGTTGACTTATCTATTTTTGTTTGATATTAAAAAATTAAAGAATTATAATGTTGCTAGACTTTCATATAATAAATAGAAATTTAAATATAATAAACAATAGTTCAAAAGAATATATTATTCATATTTCATCATAAATATTCAATAAAAATGTGAAATTTATTTAACAATAATATAATATTCTCTTCTATTTGGGTATATTTTTCAAAAGGATTCTATAAAATTATATAGAATTCAGTCTTTATAATTAAAATAAAATAAAGTTTGATAATTATTAACTTTAAATATAATGCAGCCTAATGTATAAGCATATAATTACCCTGTTTAAAAGGATGGCATGAATTAGCCTGTAGATTAATAATTTTATCAGCAATAATAACCAATAAATTAGGGTTAAGGAGTTCCACTTGGACATCCTGTAAATCCATAATACATACCAGTTCAATAGCAATAACCATTTATCAGTATTAGATTAGTTAATGTTAGATGGACCTGTTATTATATAACCAATTGTTGTATAATAAATAAGAAGAGCAAATGCAGATGGGTGTTCATATCCTGCTGATATAATTTGTCCTTATTGTCAAAAAGCAGTTCAGACATTTATTAAACATAAAAGCGGTTGTCATACTTGGCTCGCTTGTTGGTTACTGTTTCTATTTTTTTTACCTTTATTCTTTTTGCCATTTTGTTTTGAAGAATGTTTAGATAAAATCCATCTGTGTCCAAATTGTGGAAAAAAAGTAGGAAAAAAGAAATATAAAATGTGTGGATGAAACTATGTTTATTTATACATGATTTTATTTTGGTTTTATACATACTATTAATGTTATTTCTTATTATATCAATGCTGAGATTGCCAAGAACTATAACATTTATGAAAATACGTATTTATTAATTATCACTAAAATAAAAATAGATAGAAAAAAAAAAAGGAATGAAGATATCTGTAAATAAATTGGTAATATTAATGCAAATAGAGAGTAATACTTAATTTAATTTTGTATTTTTTTATTATATTGATTATGACATTGCTAATCAGATAGTTGAATTCACTTTATTGGATTAAGCAACCAATTGTCCAATCACTTATTCTAATTCGGATTCATTTAGATTTCCTATCAAAGCCTTCTTTTCAACACCATACTCTATATATTGTTTATAATTGTACTGTATCTTATGAGGATATATGGGTCAATAGATTCACACTCTCTAACAACAAATGGGAAATGAGGATTTGCATCCTTCCATTACCAATAGTTTTTGGATACAAGATTTCTACATTTTGATCATATATGAATACCTTATGCCTTCTGATCTTCCACATGTTTAACAGAAGACGAATCTCAATTCCTTTACTGAATTTCCTAATTATTTGTACCAAGACATTTTTATTATAATAAAAATAATAATGGGAGGTGTATGTGGACATCATCATTAACATCATCAATTTGCTAAATCACCTGGAGGACCATAAAGGTATGGATGTTCATTCATGAATCCTGAGCCAATGAAGTTTAATATTTTATTTGAAAATCTTCGTCTCCAATATCCTACTAAGTCATGTCATTTGAGTATTAAATTAGCTGGAGATATTTTAATTGAAACACCAAACCATATAGATTTAGATGGTAAACATACTGTAAATAATTTACTAACTTTAGTGGAAGAAAATTGTGGAAACATAAATTTAAGCTAACATAATAGAGCTTCATGAAAAAAAACTGGAATTTTATTTAATTGAAGAAAAGATTGTCATTGCAACTTTGGAGATACCTATTTTTGATATTATAAGTGGCCCTATACATTTTGATTATTCTATTGGAAAAGGTAGGCTATCTTTTGATATGCAAATGGCTTAGATTTTATAGATTGATATTAATCCTATTGAAATTGATTGTAGTTATGTTGAAAGTATAAAAGACAAAGCTTATGTATTTAATTTGAGATTAGTAACTACTAAAATGTACTTTACATCTCCAAATTCTGAAATTTTTTATAATCCTGCATATTTGAAAGGATTTAATTCATCTCTTAACAATTTTTTATAAGAAATGATGTTTAGAACTACATGGAATAATTCTTCTGAATTACCAATTCTAAGTATAGAGTTACCATCAAATGAATTGTATAATAGTTCATTATAAGTATGCATTTGGAGTATAAATAAAGAAAATGAATTTCAATCACCTGGAATTTGTTCAATAAAATCACTTAATGAAATATAAGAAAAAGAAGTATTTATAGATTAAAACCTTTTTGCTGAAACATTTATTGCATTACACAAATTAATTTAAGAGAATGATTAAGAAGATTTAAAAATGCATTAACAATTCAAAACTACTATAACTAAAAGTTTATGGTGTAAGGGTAATAAAGTAGGTACAATAAAATGTAAATTAAATGTAAAATTACCCAGGTTTCTTAAATAGAAATTAGTAGGTATTAGAACTGAGAATGGATGCACATTAGGTGTAAATATTTGTAGTTCTAAATCAGTTATTTAAATAGCAGAAATAACTAATATCTTTTAAAAGTTATATGAATCTATGTTTAAGATGCAATCATTAAGTCATAATGATCCAAATAGAGCAATACTTTAACATTAAGCCTTGAGTTTGAGTTAGTAATTATTAGTGGAAGTATAAAAAGCTGACAAAGATACCAATTCCAAATTATTCTACTATAAAAACTAAGAAGATTTATTTAAAGCCTAGGAATATTTTATCAAGATAGCAGAATAAATAACTAGATATATTGATAAATTAGATGACAATTTAAGAGAAGTTTGTTATGAAATTTTATTAGTAATTATTTCTAGAGGAGAATTTCGATTACATTCTTTAGGATATTTTGAAGAATGTAAGTAATTATCAAAAAAACAATTGGAACTTAAAAATTCAGTAAATCTTCATTATTCAGAATTTATGCTTTAAACTTTAAATTGGGTACTTTTTAAGGTTCCATTAAAGACTTAATAATAAAATGAGAGAAAATTCACAATGAGATTTCTTGTTTTAGCATTTATAAGAGTTCCTCATTTTAAAGATTAATTGCTTAAATGTATTAATAAACCTAATGATCCTTAATTAGTAGAATGGAGAGGAAATGAATTTTAATTAGAAGAATAAGATGTGTTTATAAATGAATAAGTAGCTATGGTATTTGATTGGTAGACATATTTTTACAATTATCTCTCTTAAAATCAATAATATTAATTAAGCTAAAACATATGTGATGATTAATGGATGTTAACTTTAGGTAAAAGAAATTTAATTTATCAATATTTTATAATAGAATTTTGTAGTTACATATAATTTATATTGGAAAAGAATAATATATAATGGTAACATGTACCAGGATATAAATAATTATTGAAATCTTTTCTTTGTGAATTAAAATTAAAGGAATAATATACTGTATCATTTTTTGATTGTGTAATGGCAATTTCTAAAAATAACAGTATAATTAACATTATTGTAATGATATTATTCAATAAAACCAAGTAAGATCCATAATTATTTTTAGTTTGTATTAACCTGATTAAATTATATAAATATTTGATTTATTAAGTTTAATAATTAATTAATGTCCTGAAACATTAACAGTTTTTGATTATCCATTTTTTTTAAATGGAATAAGAATTGTATTAACATAATCAGAGCATGCAATAGCAATTGCTACAGTTTTAGACTTAATTTACACAAATTTTTTAAAATTTCCAATAGAGTTCAGAAAAGCAATAATCGATTTATTATTTGAACCACTATGTTATGAATTATTTCTACATTGGTCATAAACTGTGAGAACAGTATTTATGAGTTTCCTACTTTATCGAATATGTCATTAATATAGAAATAATAAGATTTCAGTTATGGATGAAGAATTATATGAATAATAGTATTTGATAGCATCTAAACCAAGAAAGAATTTTAGTTTTTATGAGAATAGAAAGGAGGAGAAATAATTAATTGTATATATTTTCATATGATTACTAGGCAGATTATATATATTTAAAATATACAAGATTTATGATGAATATTGAATAAGTCAAGATTCAATTAAAATAGTTTCCAATCCATTAAGATTACAGTGTATTATAAAATCTCAAGGAGAAATTAGCTTAGAAAAATTAATTACATTAAGAAAACTAGAATATAATTATATAAGAGTAGAGATAGGATGATAAGGAAGAAATTCCATCTGAAAAATAGATAGTATTTGAGAGAAGGAATGAATATAGAAATCCAACCAAAAAGAGAACTATCATTATATCAGATAACAAATATAAATATTTAAAAGTAGCTTTAAATGAGTTTTCTGAATTGACTAAATAATATACAAGATGGAGATAATAATCAATGAATATGAATGAAGATTAGATGAGTCTAGAAGAGAAAAGTTAAGCATATCTGAACTTTTAGGTTCCAAAAATAAAAATATTAATGCATTATGATTAGAAAGAAGGGAAGTAGGATTGATATATTAACTATATATGCTCTTGATTTAAAGATTTAATTTAAATAAATTAATTATGATACGAGGGTACACATCCGTATTGAGAAAATCACTTTGGTACTTACCATCAATGGGATTCTCAAAGAAATTGGGTATAGGAGAAGCCTCAAGTGTATTAGAAGACAAAATTAAAAATATTTCCCAATTGGTAAAGAAATATAGTGATAATCTAGAATGATATTAAAGAATATGGTACAGTCATCTCTATTGGTGATGGTATTGCCAGAGTTTTTGGTTTGACATAAGTATAAGCAGGAGAAATGGTTGAATTCAGTTCAGGAGTCAGAGGTATGGCATTGAATTTAGAAACTGATAATGTTGGTATTGTCGTATTGGGTAATGACAGGTATTCAATTTAAATTCATTTATTTTAGAGATATCTAAGAAGGAGATATTGTCAAAAGAACAGGAGCTATTGTCGATGTCCCAATTGGTATGGAAATGTTGGGTAGAGTATTTGATGCTCTTGGTAATCCAATTGATGGACATGGTCCAGTTAAAACAAATGCAAGAAGAAGAGTTGAATTAAAAGCACCAGGAATTATTCCAAGAAAGAGTGTCCATGAACCAATGTAAACAGGATTAAAGGCTGTTGATTGTTTGGTTCCAATTGGAAGAGGATAAAGAGAATTGATTATTGGTGATAGATAAACAGGAAAGACTGCTATTGCTATTGATACAAT